GTTCAAGCACTATTCAGCAATAGCCAAAATATTAGTGTGTTATCAATGGTGATGTAGCCACAAATTCAGAATGCAGCATCATACAGGGTGTTGTGAAGAAATTTAACTCCATTCCAGCCAGAGCCCATACACAGAGGAAGGAAAAATGATCTTGGCAATGCAGACCTATTTGTCTTGACACAGTGGCATATGAGGATTTAGAGAAGATCTTTGAAGGAATAAAGATGTGGTGCTAAGTGAAAAGGGGGATAAAATGCAGCGTGGATTTACTAAGGATAGCTCATCACTGTCTAACCTCTTAGCTTTTTCTTGATGAGAAAACTGATCTTCAGGCGAAGTAAATGTGTCAGATTTCCTCTATCTGGAGTTCAGTTTAGCATTGATGTGACAATCCATGGAAGTTGTAGAGTCAAAGGTTATGCTCATGGGGAGGATTGGCAATAGATACTGCTCAAAGGAACTCGCTTATAATCCTGGGGAGGGGGCAGGCAAAAAGGCAATTGAATTCCTTGGGAATCAGTCTTCGGACCAGCCTTGTGTTATATTTTCATTAATGATCTTGGCAGAAATATTTAGAGTGTACTAGCTGGTGACATAATCTGGAAGAGGTATCAGAAGGAGGAACAGAAAGATGTCGTACAGGAAGAATGGCATGACTTGAAAGGACTAGGGTAACAGTCATGAAATAAAATTTGGTATTACAAAATGCTAAGTAATGAACTTGAAATCCTTCACAAAATATCTTGCTAAGTAGTTAATCATTAGAAAACTGCTGAAATAGTAGTCCCAGGCAATGATGATGGGTTACTAGCATGATGTGGCCACAAAAAAGGCATGTGTTGGGGAAATGTATCAGAAGAGGCATTCCCAGTAGTGAGAGAAAAGCATCATTCACGCTGCTCCAGACTCTGTCGAGGTAAAAAGTTAGGTAAAGTTTCCATCATTCACATCTAAGTAATGTGCTACTAAGCCTATGAAGACAGTGAAAGGCTTTATTGAGGCCTTACAGAAGATGATTTGGAGAACCTTCTGTTGGGAATGGACTGTAGTGATGAGCAGGAAGTCACAGAGTTGGAAACCGAGTCTGTTCTAT